CACAACATTCCTGGCACCTCCACAACATTCCTGGCACCTCCACAACATTCTCGGCACCTCCACAACATTCCTGGCACCTCCACAACATTCCTGGCACCTCCACAACATTCCTGGCACCTCCACAACATTCCTGGCACCTCCACAACATTCCTGGCACCTCCACAACATTCTTGGCACCTCCACAACATTCTTGGCACCTCCACAACATTCCCGGCACCTCCACAACATTCCCGGCACCTCCACAACATTCCCGGCACCTCCACAACATCCCCGGCACCTCCACAACATTCCCGGCACCTCCACAACATTCCCGGCACCTCCACAACATTCCTGGCACCTCCACAACATTCCTGGCACCTCCACAACATTCTCGGCACCTCCACAACATTCCTCATGGCTGCCACAATTAATATCCAGAAGAAGTAACAAAACAAGAAATTCTGCACCTCAGTTTAATTTTATAGTTTCATGTCTTTTCACAGATTTGTTAATGCATAAAGCCTGCTTAATCTTTTCATTGTTGACACCTTCTATGGTGCCATTTTGTTTTTAAATTAAAAATAATTTTATCAAACCCAGTTCCTGGCTATTTTACTAGTATGCCTTTTATACTATGCAATGATTACGTGAAACTGCCTATTCTACCAACAGAATTATTTTGTAAAGTGCCTAGAAGTCAACGATTTGGCCAGCTTTACATTATTTTCATTGCATTCCAATTTAAAGGGAGAATCCAAAACAAATGTTCTAGGCACAGCACCGTGTCTTCCTTTGCAGATGACACCCGAATCTGCATGACAGTGTCTTCCATTGCAGACACTGCAAGGCTCCAGGCGGTCATCAACCAAATCTTTCAGAGGGCTGCAGAAAACAATATGAAGTTCAACGATGAGAAATTTCAATTACTCAGATATGGTAAACATGAGGAAATTAAATCTTCATCAGAGTACAAAACAAATTCTGGCCACAAAATAGAGCGAAACACCAACGTCAAAGACCTGGGAGTGATCATGTCGGAGGATCTCACCTTCAAGGACCATAACATTGTATCAATCGCATCTGCTAGAAAAATGACAGGATGGATAATGAGAACCTTCAAAACTAGGGAGGCCAAGCCCATGATGACACTCTTCAGGTCACTTGTTCTATCTAGGCTGGAATATTGCTGCACACTAACAGCACCTTTCAAGGCAGGTGAAATTGCCGACCTAGAAAATGTACAGAGAACTTTCACGGCGCGCATAACGGAGATAAAACACCTCAATTACTGGAGCGCTTGAGGTTCCTAAACCTGTATTCCCTGGAATGCAGGAGGGAGAGATACATGATTATATACACCTGGAAAATCCTAGAGGGACTAGTACCAAACTTGCACACGAAAATCACTCACTACGAAAGCAAAAGACTTGGCAGACGATGCACCATCCCCCCAATGAAAAGCAGGGGTGTCACTAGCACGTTAAGAGGCCATACAATAAGTGTCAGGGGCCCGAGACTGTTCAACTGCCTCCCAGCACACAAAAGGGGGATTACCAACAGACCCCTGGCAGTCTTCAAGCTGGCACTGGACAAGCACCTAAAGTCAGTTCCTGATCAGCCGGGCTGTGGCTCGTACGTTGGTTTGCGTGCAGCCAGCAGCAACAGCCTGGTTGATCAGGCTCTGATCCACCAAGAGGCCTGGTCACAGACCGGGCCGCGGGGGCGTTGACCCCCGGAACTCTCTCCAGGTAAACTCCAGGCAAACATTCACAATCACTTGATGAGCACCAGTAAAGGTGCAGTAGTGCACCAATACGAAGCTTATCAAAACAGAACTTTACTCAATACCATTAGAGATAAATCCTTATTTTTTTTTTTTTTTTTTTTTGCAGCACTTCTAACATCACTGGTATTCCTCCTGGGTGCCACAGTTAATAACAAGTGACAAGATTAAGTGCCAAAAATATCCACAATAGTTTTATTTAGAGCAAAATAATGTTTTAACAGGATCTAGAATGCAAAGTAAATTTACATATGATTTCCCTTAAATATATGGCATGCTGCAGCCTTTCTTCTGTCCAAATCAAAAAAAAGGAACAAAATTTCAGTTGTGTTATAATGAAAACAAGTTACTAGAATGTTTTACTCATTTACGCATTCTGTCCACTCTTAAATACTACTTTTCAATTTAACACTTTGAGGGTCCAAGAATTTTCAAAAAAAAAAATTTTTTTCTTATGAAATGGTATAGAATCTTTTTCTAACATAATAAAACAAAAAGCATGAAATTTGATGAAAAATTGACGAGAGTACACAATCGCGAATTTTGCTGCGTCGGCAATTTTGCCCACTTTGACTCCTATTTTAGGCCAATTACATTATTCCAGTCAACCAAATTCTTAGCTATTCTGCCAGTATTACTTCTATTTTATCAATCGAGCACAAGAAACTGCTCAATCAACTATTTCAAGTACCCAATCAAGTGATTGGAAATTGGTAATTTGGCCAATTTCACAAAAAGTTCAAGATACTCCAATTTCAAAACAGGGTCCAGAATAAACAAGGCAGGAATTCCTGGCACTAAAATAACATTTCCTCTGTTTACCAGTTACATCTCCAGGCTTTACATACGAATTCCATTTTGATTTTTTATTTATGTTAAGAATTTTGATTCATATCAAAAAATAGATTTACTGTTATGCAATATTGTAATAATTGTAAAAATAATATCAGCGCATTTATGAACGTATGTTAGACCCACCAGTTGATGTGTATTGACCGCATGATGTCATTTGTTTATTCTTGAACATCGGTAAAAATCGAACATTTCGGCTACTTTGAGCTCAATTTCAAGCTACAGTGGACCCTTGGTTTTCATGATTAATCTGTTCCAGACAGTCTGCCAAAGACCAATATTCACGAAAACCAAAACCATTTTCCCCATAAGAAATAATGTAAATTCAATTAATCCATTTCAGACACCCAAATGTATTAACAAAAAAAAAAAACAATTTTTTTAGAGATTAAATATAGATTTACATACAGAAAAGAATGACAAATCAATATAAAGCAATAATAACATCACACTTGCCTTTATTGAAGACACTTGTTGTGTACAGAAGATGGGGAGGAGAGGAGAGGGAGGATTGACTGTTTGGAAGGGGAATCCCCTTCCATAAAGACTTCAGGTACCAAGTCCTTATCGGGGCTTACTTCCTTTCTTTGTTTGTTTTTTTACTGATACTAGGATCAGTTCGAGTCACTGGACCCCTGTTGCACAAAAAAATTTCCAGAGAGCTCTGCTTCTGGTGTCTCTAAGATTTGCCTAAAATGGAACAAGGCATTGTCACTAAACATGTTGCAGGCCGTGTCTGCAACAGCTTTGTTAAGGTGACATTTCTCCACAAATCTTTGCAACTCATTCCACTGTGCACAAATATACTTAATCAGTGAAGAAGGCACCTTCTTCCCTCTCTCTTCCTCCTCCTCTGAAGCAATTTCCTCAGCTGTGGTCTGTTGCTGTTCCATATGAAGGTCTTGCAGCTCTTCAGTGGTTAGCTCTTCACTGTGGTCCTCCACCAACTCTTCCACATCCTGGCTACTCACATCCAACCCTATGGACTTCCCCAAAGCTACAATAGATTCCACAAGCTTAGGGCTGTCAGGTGTGTGTGGGGGAAGTACCCTGGCTGGTGTGTGGGGAAGTGCCCTGGCTGGTGTGTGTGGGGAAGTACCCTGGCTGGTGTGTGTGAGGAAGTACCCTGGCTGGTGTGTGTGTGGGGAAGTACCCTGGCTAGTGTGTGTGGGGAAGTACCCTGGCTGGTGTGTGTGGAGAAGTACCCTGGCTGGTGTGTGTGGGGAAGTACCCTGGCTGGTGTGTGTGGGGAAGTACCCTGGCTGTTGTGTGTGGGGAAGTACCCTGGCTGGTGTATGTGGGGAAGTACCCTGGCTGGTGTGTGTGGGGAAGTACCCTGGCTGGTGTGTGTGGGGAAGTACCCTGGCTGGTGTGTGTGGGGAAGTACCCTGGCTGGTGTGTGTGTGGGGAAGTACCCTGGCTGGTGTGTGTGTGGGGAAGTACCCTGGCTGGTGTGTGTGGAGAAGTACCCTGGCTGGTGTGTGTGGGGAAGTACCCTGGCTGGTGTGTGTGGGGAAGTACCCTGGCTGGTGTGTGTGGGGAAGTACCCTGGCTGGTGTATGTGGGGAAGTACCCTGGCTGGTGTGTGTTGGGAAGTACCCTGGCTGGTGTGTGTGGGGAAGTACCATGGCTGGTGTGTGTGGGGAAGTACCTCTGGGCCCATGGTGGCTTATTAAGCAGTGTTACACAAAATAAACAAGCATAAAAAATAATGTATTATTACGAAATGTTTCATATTACCTCGCAGGGTAATGTTCACTCGCCAAGAAACAATGCCACACTGACTTTGAATGCGTCTGTGGGAGGCTTTCTGTGCGCGGGACCACTGAGACACGTTCTGTATGACTGCTGAAACCCAAAGGAAATCACGAAAACCAAGGCTATATTTTGACGAAAAAAGTTGCCAATAACCAAAATCCACGAAAACTGAGACTCACAAAAACCAAGGGTCCACTGTACTTTCAGTACTAAAACCAATTGCATTTTTTCTCATTATGCACTGCATGCTGCAGGATTTGTTTTATATAGTGCACACTTACCACACAGATTCATTCTCTCATATTTAGGCCCAAATTTACTGCTCACAGCTTATCTGAGTGAGCTGAGCTCATGACGTAGATCTACACCTTGGACCCTCAAAGGGTTAACCACTCTTTATATATTAAATATACAGTCCCTAATGAGGAAGATGGGGGCAAGTAATACTGTACCAAATTTAAAATTTTACTGATATCCTCCTTAGCATTCATTTATACCAATAAGAAAAAAAATAACCAAAAACTAAGTCCTTAATTATTAATAGGAGTCGTATAAGGACTAGAGGTTGAAAATACTAGCTTACCCAACTATTTGAAGACACTGTATAAAAGCAAAACTTTTAACATACCTGATCAGGTGCTACGGAAACGTAAGCTCTAAGACATTCTCCACCATTTTGTAGAGTAGAATTATCATCTGTATTTAGGGTTCTTTGTACTACAGCTGGGAAGGCTACATTAATCAGAGGTTCTTCAAGGGGCGGCGTTGATGATCGAACCATCACTTCAAGCATGTCCAAAGCCACAGCTTGCATACCTGGTGGCACCTGCAAAGAAGTACTCCATACAAGATGAAGGTTCAATACTGATAATTACAACAGAAAGGTTAAAAAAAAAAAAAAAAAGCATCACTCATCAAACTGAAGGACCCATCCAATGCAATTCCATAAACTGTTACTAATGCCTTCATTACACAGTCTCTCCTCACTTAGCGACATACTCGTTTACCGACGACTCGGACTTACGACGGGCTCTCTGACCAATATGCATATCTCAATAATGTATATTAAGAGCTGATTTCCTCTATTCTGTTTATTACAATATACAGTACACTGCTATATAAACATTTAAAAATATACTAAAAATGTTATAAATGGTGCAAAGGTGACATTAAAACATTTTCAAAAGATGGTTGACACAAACCCACTACCTTATAGCATGCTCTTTGCTTAGCGACGAATTCGTTTACCGACGTGGTCTTAGGAACGAAACTCCGTCGTTAAGTGAGGAGAGGCTGTAATTTATATCTTTGCTATTTTACATGCTCAATAAACAATAAGTATACATATTTCAAGATTTACTTGTTGAAGAAAGACAAAGGAGAACATAATTTCCCCAGAAGTACTAGAGAATTATGCTGTTATTACTTCTGCAAGGTATTTATTGAGTAAAAACTAGGGAAGGTAGTATCCATGAACTCACCTTATCTGTTGATGCATTAAGTATGGATGCAAGAGTAGGAATAAACTTGGTTTGAAGTGTTGTGGTGCAACCTGGGTTTTGACACAGTTCCCTTACCACATCTTGCACAAGTGCAACTAATACTGGGTCATTATTGGCTTTTATAAATACTGCTAAACAAAGAGTCGATATTCGACCAACATTTGCTGCCGTGAAATTGGAGTCTACAGAAACGACTATACAGCAAGTCTCTAGAATGAGAGAGAGAACTTCTGAAGATGCTTGAGTTGCTAAGGTTACTAAGCCATCCAGGATGGAAGGAAGGTATGGTTGAAGTGCTCCTGGGGTTCCACTACCTTTCAGATATTCACAAAATCCCCATACTGACCTGTAATATGAAATACAGTAACACCTTTAGTCAAGAATAGCCAATTCATATTTCCAGTTTTAATCTAATAAAATACACTTTCTTGTTCTTAAGACATCCAAAATGTAATCCAAAAGTAGAATTAATAGGGGAAACCGGGGATCTCAGTACTTCAGTACTGAGATCCCCAACCACAAGTTCTCTCTCATTTGGTTCAAAACTCGCCATGCACTCACTCAACATTTCCAAAAATCTCTCTCTTCTCCAGGTGCATACACACTTACTATAAACTACTTTTCACATTAAGCCCTTATTTTACTCAACATAATCCTTGAATATATATACTTTTATATTCCCTCTTTCCTGTCATAACTTATCCTTCAATATTACTACTACTACTTCCTTTGCACAAACTATTAGAAACCCCTGACCTAATCCCATTTATTCCTCCTCACTGAAACTCTCCCACCCCCTTCAGCTTTGTTTCACTTAGAGCCAGGACATCCAGCTTCTTTTCATTCATAATGTCCACAATCATCTCTATCATTTGCACTACATCCACACACATTCAAATATCCCACTTTGGTTTTCTTTTTCTTCTTTTAAGTAAGCTATATAGGAAAAGGGGTTACTAGTCCAATGCTCCTGGCATTTTAGTTGACTTTTACAACACGCATGGTTTACGGATTCTTATTCCAATTCCCCATGGATATGAAAGGAAAAGTAATAAGAGCAAGAACTATTAAAATCAAATCAAAGAAAACTCAGATGAGTGTATTAGGGTTATAACTTTTTTATAACGTATTATTCCTGTACCTTAATCAGACTAACATTTGCCTAAAAGCAAGGAAATAACTTTTCATTTCAGTATCTTTTTAGAAAATGTCACCCCTAAATGAAAAAAAAGAATAATGAAAGCAAGTAACTTGGATGCATATTGCATGTAACATTAATAACAAACAAAACAGCTTACAGCATCATTATCATGTTTGTATATATATTACTACTTCCTGCTTAGAATAAACTGAAGTTGCAGTTTGTTTTTGTTTCTGGAGGCAGCATATAGTTCCTGCATAACTTTGCACGTTCAGCACACTGATTACTTTTTGGTATACTGAGTGCAGATGGCTCCTGCTTCAAATGATTTTTCAAAGAGTTTAGTGCTTTTTGCAAGGTTTCAATATTTCAAGATTTTCATCCATTACCAAACAAAGAATCCTGTCCAGAATGTGATGCTGACAACTAATAAATTGTGGTTTGCTAATTCCCTTCTCTGAGAACATTCGTTGTAGCTTGACAACAGCTTCACTCTTTTTCCCGTGTTAATGTTTGTTGTATCAGCAATGATCACCTCTATTTCATTCCATAAATTGTATTCATCAATAACTTTTGCCATTCCTTCAGCCTTGCCATCTTTCAAATGCAGTGCCTCCAGTTTTACTTCGGTTCTTTCATTTTTAAGTATTAATACCTGACACTCATTTTCCTCAATGCACTTTCCATCGAAATGTAAAGACCATTCTTCCATTTGTAACTTTTCCATCATTTCCTCCTTCAATTTAGCAGCCACTTTGCATGTTGACTTGTAAATTGCTGCTTGACTTGATGTAGGAATGTCAATGCCATCAAACGAGGTGCTACTTATGATTAGTAACGTAAATATATAGTAATACCCCAGTTTTCGTCCTTAATCCATTCCAGAAGGTCGGCCAAAATCCAAAATGGGTGAAGACCGAAGTAACATTTCCCATAAGAAATAATGTAAATCCAATTAATCCGTTCCAGATACACAAAAATATTAACAAAAAAATACATTTCATAGAGAATAATTAGTGGACCCTCGGTTATCGAACGCTCCACTTATCGGCCAACTCACTTACCAGCTGGTTTTTAAGCTTCCGGTTATCGGACGTTATCAGCCGTATGGGACTTGTCAACCCGCCACAGCCAGCCACTTGCGCGTCAATCTGACTTTGTTTCTGGGCGAGTGAGGAAGCTTCTGCTCATCCATCCAAACATTTCGCTATAATCCATTGTTTTTCATGGTTGTTGATTAAGTGCAACTGCGAAATAAGTAACCATGGGTCCAAAGAAAGTTCCTAGTAAAGTTCTTTTGGTAAAGAAAGTAAGAAACACGATGGAATTTAAGAAAGAAGTTGATGAAAAGTATGAAAGTGGTGTCCGAGTGCTATAACTTGCCAATATGTATGGGAAAAACAAATTAACAATCACTTCTATCCTTGCAAAGAAAGTAGAAATCAACAAAGCTAATGTTGCAAAAGGAGTAAATGTGCTAACCAAACAAAGGTCACCGATAATGGAAGATATGGAGAAGTTGTTGTTGTTGTAGATCACTGAAAAACAATTAGCGGGAGATAGTGTTGTGGAGTTGATTATTTGTGAGAAGGCAAGGCAGCTGCATGTGGATCTTGTAAAGAAAATGCCTAGAACAAGTGCTGCTGTTAGTGAATTTAGGGCCAGCAAAGGCTGGTTTGAGAGATTTAAGAAGCGTAGTGGCATACACAGTGTGGTAAGGCATGGCAAGGCGGCAAGTTCTGACAAATGCGCAGCTGAAAAATTCATGCAGGAATTCAAGGGGTATGTAGAGGCTCAAGGATTCCTCCCCACAACAAGTGTTCAATTGTGACGAAACAGGCCTCTTTTGGAAGAAAATGCCAAAGAGGACCTACATCACACAGGAGGAAAAGGCACTGCCAGGACACAAGCCTATGAAAGACAGGCTTACTCTTTTGTTCTGTGGTAATGCTAGTAGGGATTTCAAAGTGAAGCCTTTACCGGTGTATCATTCTGAAAATCCCAATGTGTTCAAGAAAAACAATTTAGTCAAGAATAGATTGTGTGTGATATGGAAAGCTAATAATAAGGCATGGGTCACAAGGCACATTTTCAAAGAGTGGGTCAATGATGTGTTTGACCCCAGTGTGACAAAATACCTCCTGGAATGTAAATTGCCACTCAAGTGCCTCCTGGTACTGGACAATGCTCCTGCTCATCCTCCAGACTTGGAAGGCCAATTGTTTAGGGACTTCTGTTTCACAACAGTGAAGTTCTTGCCTCCTAACACCACTCCTCTCATCCAGCCCATGGACCAGCAGGTCATTTCTAACTTCAAAAACTCTACACAAAAAACTGTTTTCAAAGGTGCTTTGAAGTAACCCTGGACACTCATTTGACCTAAGAGAGTTCTGGAGTAATCACTTCAGTATCCTCCACTGCATAAGCCTTACAGGTAAGGCTTTGCAGGAAGTGACTTCCAAGGACTTTGAACTCTGCTTGGAGAAAATTGTGGCCAGACTGTGTCCAAGAGAGGGATTCTGAAGTGTTTGGGGCTGACCCTGAGGACCCTACGCTTGTTGTGGAATCTACTCTGGCACTGGGGTTGTCCAAAGGGTTGGATGTGAGTGGCGAGGATGTGGAAGAGTTGGTGGAGGACCACAGGGAAGGGCTAACCACTAAAGAGCTGCAAGACCTTCAACTGGAACAGTAACAGGCTGCAGCTGAAGAAATTGCTTCAGAGGAGGAGGAAGAGGGAAGATGGTACCTTCTTCATTGATTAATGACATGTGTGCAAAGTGGAGTAGGGTGCAAGCTTTTGTGGAGAAATATCACCCTGACCAAGCTGAAACAAGCCATATCTGAAACATGTTCAGTGACAAAACCTTGTCCCACTTCAGGGAAATCTTAGAGAGATGCCAGAAACAGACCTCTCTGGACAGAATTTTTGCACTACAGGGGTCCAGTGACTCTCAAGCTGGTCCTAGTGGCATTAAAAGACAAAGAAGGGAAGTAACCACCAGAGAGGGACTCGATACCTAAAGTCCTTATGGTGGGGGGTTTCCCTTCCAAACAATAAATCCTCCCTCTCTCCTCCTCCCTATCTTCCAAAAGCCAACAAGTCTTCAATAAAAGTATGTAATATAGTGATTTAATTGTTCATGTATTTATTTCATTTAGCTCTCATGTATTTATTTTATTTAGTTCTCCTTATTATTTGTGAATATTTTTGGGTGTCTGGAACGGATTAATTGTATTTCCATTAATTATTATGAGAAATATTATTTCGGCTTCAAGCCCTTTCGGTTTTAGCCCGACCTTCTGGAACGGATTATGGCCGATAACCGAGGGTCCACTGTATGTTTTACATACAGAAAACAATGAGAAATAAATATAAATGACTAATTTTAATGATAAATGAACATTACACACCTTTACTAAAGACTCTTGGAAAAAGGCGAGGAGGGGAGAGGGAGTTGAGGTTATTGTTTGGAAGGGGAATCCCCCTCCATAAGGACTTCAGGTATCAAAGCCCTATCCAGTGTTACTTCCCCTTCTTTTGTTGGGGGAAGAATCCTTCAGCCTCTATGTACCCCTTGAATTCATCAACAAATTCTTTGGCCGCACGTTTGTCAAAACTTGCAGCCTCGCTGTGCCTTACCACACTGTGTATGCCACTTCGCTTCTTGAATCTGTCGAACCAGCTCTTGCTGGCCTTAAATTCATTAACAGCAGCACTCGTTCCAGGCATTTTCTTTACAAGATCTGCATGCAGGTGTCTTGCCTTTTCGCAAATTATCTCCTCCACAACATTATCTCCCACTAACTGTTTTTCACTGATCCACACCAACAACAACTCCACATCCTCGATTGTTTGTGATCTCTGTTTCGTTAGCATATTTACCCCTTTTGCAACATCAGCTTCCTTGATTTCTGCTTTCTTTGCCAGGATGGAACCGATTGTTGACGTCGACTTCCCATGCATCCTGGTGAGCTCAGCCACATGTACACCACTTTCACATTTTGCTACACGTTCTTTTTTGAATTCTATCGTGTTTTTCACCTTCTTTACCAAAGGGGTGGCACTCTGAACTCTCTTTGGCCCCAAGGAGGCTTATTTCAGTCTTAATAAAAAAAACAAGCACAAAAAGCAATGGATGAACGAGCAAGCGTTCATCTGGGCGGGTGGATGCCTCCGATACAGACGATTTCCAAGCGGATGTAAGAAACCCAGGGGAAATTTTCGCCAAAAAAAAGTGCTCAAAATCCGAATTGTACGATTTCCGCACAGGACAAAAACCGGGGGTTCACTGTATGGTGATTAATATTTTTCAATAATTTGAGTTGCCAATTAGTGATTTCCTGAGTTTCTACTTATGAGTAGTAACATAGATATATGGTGAATCATAGTTTTTATTTAGATGTGACCTTTTTTGAAAAATGAGAGGAATTAGGGACTTTTCATTGTTTTTAAACAAAATTTCATCGATTTATGACACACGTTTTATTTGGAAAAAAGGAAAAAAGTTATAACCCTAGACTGTGCATACATAAATGTGTACAAACTGTACATGCATGTGTAGTTAGTAGAAGTAGCAAGATGTACCTGAAATCTTGCATGTTTATTTGACAGAAAAAAGACACCAGCAATCCTACCATCATGCAAAACAAATACGTACAGGCTTCCGTTTTACACTCACCTGGCAGGACGGTAGTACCTCCCTGGGTGGATGCTGTCTACCAACCTACTACATATAAATCACATTCATTCCATATAATACACAAATAACCCACACATAGGAGAACGAAATTTAAGATACTGCATCATAAGTTCCAGTTTCCTATGTGCAAGTTATCTGGGTATTCCAGTCACGGTACTGTGATTTTTTACTATATTTAAGAACCAGCAATTCTAATGCACTGTTATAAAATTACATCTTTAACTAATAATAACAGTCACACTTAGGCATTTTGAGACTAACCCAATCTATACCTCAATGCAACATCAGTCATAAGAAATATGACATTTATAGTAAAAAGTAACAATAATACCCATGCTATTTTAAGACAAGAATCAACTTACCTAACTCCAGAGACTTTAATAATAGGATTGGGACTATGATTGAGAGCCGAGACAGTAGCCTGGAGAAATCTGTCAAGCATTTCAGGGGTTACTGCCTGCCCAAACCTACTGCCACACCAAAGTGCTCGTCCAGCCAGAAATGGGGAAACTGTAAAAGAAAATTTAATGTGAAGAATAATGCTTTGAAAATTATCTCCAAAGCAAATTTTCATGAACACACTTCAGTTTTCCTGCCATCCAAATAAACTGAAAATTTAAGGTTTATGAATATTGAAAAATCAGAATAACCACCTCAGTACCAAATATTAAAATACTACTAAGTACAGTGTAACTTCACTAAATTTTTTAAAAAATTCTATTACTTACAATTAGGATCAAGGTCAGCCAAAACAATAGACTGGATAAAATTGGTGAGATCAAACTGTAACTGCCCCTTTGTCACTTGATCAAGGATTAGATCACGGACAGATCCCATGGCCAGCATTACAGCCTCGTGCGTTTTCCACCAAGCAGGGTCACCTGCTGTCCGCTGACTAGCTGCTCGCTCTAAATGTCTCCCAACAGCTACAATTAAACCCTGGCCACACTCCTCAGCTAGCTCTTGACACAAGGCCTGAGAGTACAACAAAAAAGGGGAGATTATTGGGATGAAGAATATTACCTTAAAAAAGAACTATCCAACTGTAAATTAAAAGGACAAAAAGTTATGGAGTCTATTTATATATCAATCATTAATGCACACTAGTCAATTAAAAATACGTAATTACTAAACTTGAATTGATAATTTGTGTTCTCATAACATGTAGATAACTGTTTAAGAAAATATACCATTATGAAAAAAGAAAATTCTAGCAGCTGCAGCTGTTCTCTTCCTAGACTTCTTGTCAAGTTAACCAAACTATTTTTTCTCTTATTAACACATTGGCCATTTCCCACCAAGGCAGGGTGGCCTGAAAAAAGAAAAACTTTCATCATTTACTCCATCACTGTCTTGCCAGAGACACGCTTACACTACAATTATAAAACTACAACATTAACACCCCTCCTTCAGAGTGCAGGCACTGTACTTCCCATCTCCAGGTCTCAAATGCAGCCTGCCAGTTTCCCTGAATCCCTTCTTTATAAATGTTACCTTGCTCAGACCCCAAGAGCACGTCAAGTCCTTAAAACCATTTGTCTCCATTTGCTCCTATCTAACATGTTCCTGTATGCTTGCTGGAAGTCCAAGCCCCTCGCCCACAAAACCTCCTTTACCCCCTCCCTTCATCCTTTCCTGAGCCAACCCCTACTCTGCTTTCTTTCCACCACGGTGGCCCATGGCTAGGTGGCAAAAGCTCTTGCTTCACACGGTGAGGGTCCAGGTTCGATTCCCAGCAAAGGTAGAAACATTTGGCATGTTTCTTTACATTGTTGTCCATGTTCACCAATCAGTAAATTGGGTACCCGGGAGATAGTCGACTGGTGAGAGTCACATCCTGGGACAAAACTGACCTAATTTGCCTGAATTGCTCTGTATAACAAGAGGCTTTCTATACAGTAGTATGTCACTGATGTCAGCTAGGCCTGTATACCTTGTACATGTACAGTGGAACCTTGATACTCAAACTTAATTCATTCTAGAAGGCTATCTGAGTGTTGATCTGTTCAAGTACCAAACAAATTTTTCCCAAGCAATTTTCCTTTTGGTTAGCTGTTATCATTAATCTTCTTAGGCACCATGGTGACTTATTTAACCCTTTGAGGGTTTCGGACGTACTAGTATGGCTTACGACCCAGGGTTTTTGACGTACTAGTACGCCTAAATTCTAGCGCCCTCAAATCTAGTGGGAGAAAGCTGGTAGGCCTTCATATGAAAGAATGGGTCTATGTGGTCAGTGTGCACAGTCTAAAAAAAATCCTGCAGCACACAGTGCATAATGAGAAAAAAAAACTTTGACCGTTTTTTTGGAATAAAACAGCGACTTTGCACTGTATTTTCGTATGGTATTTATTGTTGTATTCTAGTTTTCCTGGTCTCATTTTATAGAATGGAAGACATATTACAGAAATTGAGATGATTTTAACTGGTTTTACAAGGAAAGATACCTTGAAATTGAGCTCAAAGTAGCAGAAATGTTCGATTTTTACCAAATTTCAAAAGTAAACAAATCGTGCCAATGGTCCAATACACGTCAACTGGCGAGTCTAATATTCTTTCACAAGTGCGCCAATAATATTTATACCATTTTTTTACACTAATGCAGCAGTCTGCATAACAGTAAATCTTATATTTTTTGTGAGAATAAAAATTCAAAGTGGAAAGCAAAAGAATATAAGAGGGGCCTTGAGACGTGACTAATGACCAGAGGAAATGTCATTTTAGTGCCAGGAATGTCTTTCTTGTTTATTCTGGACCCTATTCGGAAATTGGCATCTTTTGAAATTTGTATGAAATTGGCAAAATTGCTAAATTCTGACCACTGTACTGGATAGTTGAATTTCATAAATGGGTGGTTTCTTGCACCCATTTGATAGAAAAAATGGAGTTCTAGCGGAATATTCATGTTTTTTGTCGACTAGTACAGTGGAATTGGCCGAAAATGGGGCTCAAAGTGGGCAAAATCGCCGATGCGTAAATATCCCCGAGACCGCTAACTTCGCGAGAGTATAATTCCGTAAGTTTTCCACCAAATTTCAAACTTTTGGTGTCCTTATGATCGGGAAAAGATTCTCTATCTTTTCATAAGAGAAAATTATTTTTTTTTTTTTAAATTTGGCCGACTCTGAGAACGAGTTTCGGAGAGGGCCTGTCGACCCTCAAAGGGTTAAACAGATATAAAAAAAATATGGAGAAACACGAAATAGCTTACAGCGAAGTTCTAGCAGGTCATGTTTGTTCGGTCGAGTACAGAGCAAACAGTCAACTACTGAGTGATTTTTTTACCAAACAAAATATTCAAATATCAAATTGTTCAAGTAGAGAGCTTTTCAAGTACCGAGGTTCCATTGTACTTTCAGAATTTTTTTTTTTTAACACATTTCCCACTGAGGCAGGGTGACCCAAAACGAAGGAAAAGAAAAAAAAAATAACTTTCATCATTCAACGCTTTAACCATCACTCATATATGATCACTGTCTTTGAAGAGGCGCTCAGATATGACAGTTTAGATATCCCTCCAAACTGCCAATATCCCAAAACACTCCTTGAAAGTGTGGGCATTGTATTTCCCCTTTTCCAGGACTCAAGTCCGGCTAACCAGTTTTCCTGAATCCCTTCACAAAATATTACCCTGCTCACATTCCAACAGCTCATCAAGTCCCACACACCATTCATCTCCATTCACTCCTAACATGCTCACGCACACTTGTTGTAAGTCTAAGCCCTCACCCACAAAAGATCCTTTACCCCCTCCCTCCAACCTTTCAAGGATGACCTCTATCCCGCCTTCTTTCCCTTACTGATTTAAACGCTCTCCAAGTCATTCTACTTTGTTCCATTCTCTCTAAATGACCAAACCACCTCAACAACCCCTCTTAAGCCCTCTTAATACTTTTAGTAATTCCACATCTCCTAATTTCCACACTATGAATTCTCTGCATAATATTTACACCACACATTGCTCTTAGACAACATCTCCAGTCTCTAGCCTCCTCCTCAGTGAAGCATGTACAACCCATGCTTCACACCCATATAAGAGTGTTGGTACCACTATACTCTTGTACATTCCTTTCTTTGCCTCCATGGATGATTTTTTTGTCTCCACAGATACCTCAACACACCACTCACCTTTTTTCCTTCATCAATTCTATGGTTAACCTCATCCTTCATAAACCCATCCGTTGACAAGTCAACTCCCAAATACAGTGGAACCCCGAGTTTCGTACACCCTGACTATCATTCGCTTTGAGTTTAGAACCGTTTCTTCGGGTTCAATTTTGTCCCGAGTTTCTCACTGTGCCCCGTGTTTCGTCCCACGTACCAGACCTGCCCGCCTGCCCCTGCAGTCGTGAGTCAGCGTGGCATTGTTTTTTGAGTGAATACAGACATTTTCATTAATCCATCTATGATATTTTCTTCAAAATTATATAAGAAACACATTACACAGCATAGTATATAAAAACGTGCAATGTTTATATGTGATGTATGGTTTAATAATAATCACTCTTGGGCTAATAGTATAGACATTTTCATAAATCCATCTACAAAATGTCACATAGTGCAGTGGAACCCCAAGTCTCAGCCATAATTCGTTCCAGAAGGCTGTTCGATTGCCGTTACCGATCGAATTTGTTCCCATGAGGAATAATGTAAATTAGGTTAGTCCATTTCAGACCCCCAAAAATACACTTACAAAAGCACTTACAAAAATACACTTACATAATTGTTTGAGTTGGGAGGTGGCTGAAACTCGGGGTACCACTGTATATATAAAAACATGCAATGTTTATATGCAATGTTTAATAATAATCACTCTAGGGCACATTAAATGTCTTATTTTAAGCTAATATAGACATTTTCATGAATCCATCTATGATATTTTCTTCAAAATTATATAAGAAACACGTTACATAGTATATAGCAAATAAACATAGCATATAAACATGCAATGTTTATATGTTATCGAGTGGTGAGTAGCGGCGTATCAAGGAGGGTGGAGAGAGGAGGGCGAAAGGTAAACATTACGTTTTCTCTGATGCAGGCTACCTACACTGAATTCCTAGAAATAAATGCTACTCACTTCTCGCCCTACATTAAGACTACAAATATTTTGAGGTAAGTAATGAATGTACTGTAGCAGTAAAAGACAAAGAAGGGAAATAACATTGGAGGGCTTTGATACCTCAAGTCCTTATGGAGGGGGATTCCCAACTCCCTGGAACAGATTAATTGTATTTACATTAATTCTTATGGGAAATACTGCTTCGGCTTTAGGACGTTTCGACTCGAGTACTAGCTACTGGAATGGATTAAGTACGAAGCTCAGGGTTCCACTGTATCTGAAAACATTCACTTCTTCCATACTCCCTCCCTCCCTCCAATGTGACATCCAATTTTTCTTTATCTAAATTATGTGATACCCTTAACCCCCTTCTCTTTTCTATGTTCACTTTCAACTTTCTTCCTTTACACACCTCCCAAACTCATCCACTAACCTTTGTAACTTTTCTTTAGAATCTCCCAAAAGCAGAGTATCATCAGCAAAACGTAACCGTGTCAACTCCCATTTTGTATTTGATTCCCCATAATTTAATCCCACCCCTCTCCCCAACACCCTAGCATTTACTTCTTATACAGCTCCACCTATAAATATGTTAAACAACCATTGTGACATTACACATCCCTGTCTATGACCTACTTTTACCGGGAAGTAATCTCTCTCTCCAAGTTATTCCATTTCATTCCATCCTCTCTAAATGTCCAAATCACCTCAACAACCCTTCCTCAGCCCTCTGAATAATACTTTTGGGTAACCCTGCACATCCTTCTAATTTCCAAACTACGGATTCTCTGCATTATATTCACACAACATATTGCCTTCAGATATGATATCTCCACTGCCTCCAGCCTCCTCCTTGTTGCAACATTACCATCCATGCATCACACCCATATAAGAGCGTTGGTATAACTATACTCTCAAACCTTTCCCTCTTTGCTTCCATGGATAATGTTCTTTGTCTCCACAGACTCCTTAGTGCACCACTCACCTTCTTCCCCTCATCAATTCTATGATTTGCCTCATCTTCCATAGACCCACTTACTAACATGTCAACTCCCAAATATCTGAATACATTCACTTCCTCCATACTCTCTTCCTCCAATCTGATATCCAATCCTTTGTTACCTAAATTTTTTGCTATCCTCATCACCCTACTCTTTCCCATATTCACTTATAATTTTCTTCTTTTACATACCCTACCTAACTCACCCACCAACCTCTGCAACTTCTCTTCAGAATCTCCCAAATAAAATCCTGTATGATACTGGGTTCAAACCTCTACCACAACAGTTCTTCTTTCAGTGCACCCGTCATATCCCACAAAGGCAGGGTGGCACAAAATGAAAAACAAATGTTTCTCTTTTTAACTTTAGTAATGTATACAGGAGAAGAGCTTACTAGCCTTTTGGTCCTGGCATTTTGGTCGTCTCTTACGATACGCATGGCTTAAAGAGAAAGAATTCTGTTCCACTTCCCCATGGAGATAAGAGGAAATAAACAAGAACTAGTAAGAAAAAGAAAACCCACAGGGGTGTGTATATATATGCTTGTATATGCATGTGTAGTGTGACCTAAGTGTAAGTAGAAGTAGCAAGACGTACCTGAAATCTTTCATGTTTATTAGAAAAAAAAAAAAAAAAAAAAAGACACCAGCAATCCTACCATCAAGTAAAAAAAATTACAGGCTTCCGTTTTACAGTCACTTGGCAGGACGGTAGTACCTCCCTGGGTGTTAGGTAAGACACATATGCAACAGTTAGGTATCTTTTTTTCGAAATAAAGATACCTAACTGTTGCATATGTGTCTTACCTAACAACCTGTCGGTATTTTATACCATTTTAATGTTCACCTCCCTGGGTGGTTGCTGTCTACCAACCTACTGTTTAGGACAACAGTTATTCTTTCATTCTTTCAACACACCGGCTGTATCTCACCGAGGCGGGGTGGTCCAAAAGGAAAAACAAAAGTTTCTCCTTTTACATTCAGTAATATATAAAGGAGAAGGGGTTACTAGCCCCTTGCTCCTGGCATTTTATTCGCCTCTTACAACACGCATGGCTTACGGAGGAAGAACTCTGTTCTACTTCCCCATGGAGATAAGAGGAAATAAACAAGGACAAGAACTAGAAAGAAAACCCAGAGGGGTGTGTATATATATGCTTGTACATGCATGTGTAGTGTGACCTAAGTGTAAGTAGACGTAGCAAGACGTACCTGAAATCTTGCATGTTTATGAGACAGAAAAATGGACACCAGCAATCCTACCATCATGTAAAACAATTACAGGTTTTCGTTTTACACTCACTTGGCAGAACGGTAGTACCTCCCTGGGGTTGCTGTCTACCAACCTACTGTTTAGGACAACATTTATATAAAGTGTATTAAAAATATTTTTGCAAGGGATAGGCTGTATGTTTTTTTTTTTTCGTTTTGTTTTGCTTCATTGTAGTTCTAAAAGCAGAGAATTTAAGAAAATTGATAAATGAATTTAACTCTCCAATTATTGTATTGCTGCTTAGTAATTGGAGATTGTCCAATAGCACTGTCTAAAGAAAACTTGCAAAAATTTTCAAAACCATTATACTGGATTTTTCACACCATTTATTAGGGCTATTTGGTAACTATAACCAAACATAACGAAACCAAATATTTTAGAGCAGTTTTTAAATTGACTTTGTGTCACATTCAACATTTAGGAATAGAAATAATATTGGCCTGTAGCCCAACCATATGGCTAACAGTAACCAAGTAAAAAGTCTTTCTTAGTATTATGAAATTCTAAAATTTTATAATTATTGTGTAGAGAAAAACTACAGTAACCTGGACTTTATGCAGAAATTACTGATAAATTAAAAGCTCTCGAGAGATGGAAATTATTCCATAAATAAACCCAAAAATTGTTAAAAGTCAGTATATCAGGGGGTACTAGTTTTCATTTTTTGTTTTGCTTTCCATCTGTGAACTTAAAAAATTTAACAAAATTTCAATGAACTTCCAACTCTGCTTGGTGACAATTATTTGCTTACAGCTGAACTTTGTGATACACCAATATACAAAGCTTCAATACTGATTTAACTGATAGTTTGTTTTTTTTTTTTTTTTTCAATGAACCAGCTGTATCCCACCAAGGCAAGGTGACCTTAAAAGAAAAACTAAAGTTTTTCTTTTTAAATTTAGTAATTTATACAAGAGAAGAAATTACTACCCCCTTGCTAATGGGAATACTGCTACGAGTGAAAGTTTATGTAACTAAATAACATGAAGGAGCTTCAAGAAGTTACCAACCAATACTGTTAACATTTCCATGATAACAATTATAAGAATGAACAAGGAGGCTTATTCTTTGAATGGGTAGGCGATGTGTAGATCAAATGTTTTACATTGAACCATATAAATGAACAATATATTTAGATAAAGGTAGAGATGTTTTCATTGCATTTATAGATTTAGAAAAGGCATATGATAGGGTGGATAGGGAAGCAATATGGCAAATGTTGCAAGTGTATGGAATAGGCAGTAAGTTACTAGATGCTGTAAATAGTTTTTATATGGATAATGAGGCTCAGATTAGCGTGTATAGGAGAGAGGGAGATTACTTTCCAGTAAAAGCAATGCAATGTCACCACGGTTGTTTAACATATTTATAGATGGAGTTGTAAAAGTAGTAAATGCTTGGGCGTTGGGAAGAGGGGTAGGATAAAATTATGGGACGTCAAATACAAAATGGGAGCTGTCAGTTATTTTTTGCTGGTGATATTCTAAAGAGAAGTTGAAAAGGTTTGTGGACGAATTTGGGAGGGTGTGTAAAGAAAATTGAAAGTGAACACAGATAAGAGTAAAGTGATGAGGGTATTGAACGAGTTAGGTAAAGAAAAATTGGATATCACAATGGAGGGAGGGAGTATGTAGGAAATGAATGTGTTCGGATATTTGGGAGTAGATTTGTCAGCAGATGGGTTTCTGAACGAGGTTAACCATAGAAGTGGTGAAAAAAAAGTGAGTGGTCAGAGGTATCTGTGGAGACAAAAAAACATTATCCATGGAGGCAAAGAAGAGAATGTACGAGAGTATGGTGGTACCAACATTCTTACATGGGTGTGAAGCATGGGTTATGAATGCTGCAGAGGAGGGGAAGGCTGGAGGAAGTGGAGATGTGTCTAAGGGCAAAGTGTGGTGTAAGTATTATTCGGAGAGCTGAAGAGGGATTATTGAGGTGGTTTGGTCATTTAGAGAGGATGGAGCAAAACAGAATGACTTGGAGGGTGTATAAATCTGCAGTGGAGGGAAGGAGGAGTAACATCTAAACTGTCGTATTTGGGCACCTCTGCAAAGACAGCGACTGTGTGTGAATGATGGTGAAAGTGTTTCTTTTTTGGGTCACCTTGCTTTGGTGGGAGATGGCCGGCATGAAAAAAAAAAATGGCCGGCATGAAAAAAAAATGAATTTTAAAAATTTTAATATCTTTGTAACTTACACGCTGGTATGAAATAATACAGTCAACCAATATACACAGCATCAATAAAAACATTCATCAATATCTTTTTCTTCTTTCAACAAACTGGTCGTATCCCACAGAAGCAGGGTGGCCCAAAAAGAAAAACAAAAATTTCTCTTTTCAACTTTGGTAATGTATACAGAATAAGGGGTAACTAATCCCTTGCTCCCAGCACTTTAGTCGCCTCTTACGACAGGCATGGCTTATAGAGGAAGAATTCTGTTCCACTTCCCTAATTTCATAAGAATGATGTATGCTTTCTTGCCCACATAAATACAAAACTCTCTCTCATAACATTTACTTATTTAGCAAATCCTTAATACGAATCATGATCGAGAACAAAGAACCGAAATCTCATAACATAGTACAGTGGACCCCCGCTTAACGATCACCTCCCAATGCGACCAATTATGTAAGTGTACTTATGTAAGTGCGTTTGTACGTGTATGTTTGGGGGTCTGAAATGGACTAATCTACTTCACAATATTCCTTATGGGAACAAATTCGGTCAGTACTGGCACCTGAACATACTTCTGGAATGAAAAAATATCGTTAACCGGGGGTCCACTGTACTCAGTACGTCGTCTTTATTCAGGATAAACAGTCTGTGTTCCTGCCTAAGGCAATTACCAAGCACATAAGGAATTTCTACATATTTTTTTTAACTCTAAGTTAACATTTAACAAGTACTATAAATTTTAAAACTGGATGTCTTTCACAGTGACAGGGCGACCTGAAAAACAAAAATGTTCACAATCATTCATTCAATCATCTTCCCAGAAACATGCTGACATCACAGCTCAAACAACTCTCGAAACTGCTGCATCCCCACCCCTCCTCTAGAGTGCAAGTGCTGCATTGCACATCTCTCCGAATCTCTTCACAAATGCTACTTTCCTCACATTCCAACAGCATGTGAAATCATAAAAATCACTTATCTCCATTTAGTTCTATGTAATACGCTCACACAAGCTTGCTGGAGGTCCAAGCCCCTAGGATTAAAAACCTCCCTCACCCCCTCTCTCCAACCCTTCACTGTAATGGTCCCTATCCCTCCCTCCTCTACACACTAGATTTAAATGCCCTCTTAGTCATCCTATTTTACTTAGTGCTCTCTAAATGTTCAAACAGCCTCAATTTCTCTTAATAAATGCAGCTCTTAATAAATGTGAAATAAAATGCAAGTCACAAGTGTACGGTAATGGCTTTCCACGATGCTAAAAACTTGTACACATCTCGACTCACTAGCAACAAATCCTGGGCAGAGATTCTAACAGAGTAGGCAAAGCTGTCCTCATCTTCATCCTCCACAAAAGCATCAGGATTGTTGCTCCAATTTTCAATCTGATAAATAAATTAATAAATTAGATTAGTGCTAGTCATGAGAAAAATGAGACCTTTACATACAAGAGCAAAAAAAAACTCAATGCTTACTTAAATACTCATTTCACAATCTTTGTTTCTTCTAAATCTACTGGGTTAATTATGAAGAGGAAGGAATCATGCACTACTAAGCTATGTCCATGTAGATCATGGGACAAGCAAACTAACCAATGCATAGTAAAGTGTAAACCAAAATCTCATGTTTAGTGCCCCACTGATACAAGTCACTTACTGCTTAACTCCCAAAATTAACCTACATGCCAGTTAACACTTCTTCAGATGTTTTTAAGTTATTCAAATTTTCCTACGTGCACTTACATGTGAGCTAATGCTATCTGGTGACTAATTTAGAATTGGGAGTTGTGTAAAGCACAATCTGTGGCAACAGTGGGGATTATGATAATTCAGTTCTGCTATAACTTGCTTATACTACATGATGTAATGGTTCATTCCATCAACAGTTCTTCACAGCATTACATTCATCATATTGTAATATATCAGTTTTCTTTCCACTTAGATCCTGAAATCATACTTTCTCTTTTTGCAATTTGTCAATCACAATTCTGCCTTACATTCATACGTATTTAAATGACTTGTTCTTATACTACATTGTCCCAATTTCTTTTGTAAAAAAAAAGCATCATTGGCCACCATGCCCCTTTTCATACAACAAAAGCACTAATCACTCCAACTTTAATCTCCATCTCCAACAAGCATTTTAATCCCAGTTTCCCCTGCTACTTATTTTCCATGTTCAACTGAACATGTTCAATTTTCTACAACATTAAAAAGTGTATTTCCTGTAACACATACCTGATCTTCTGTAATTTGCATATACAGGAGAATGTAATATGTAAGATCAGCAATGCCTTGTATAATGAGTTGCTTGTGCTTAGTAGTTTCCACAAGAGCATGTACAAACTCGAATATACTAAACACCAGATTCTCGAAGCCAAGTACTTCCCCTGCAATGTTTAAGATCAATTAAAATTAAGCAAAATAAACTACATGCTGTGACCATGCTGCAACTATCATCCTCGGAATATGAATATTCATTGGCTTCTTTTCTTCAATATTTTATTCCCATTTCCTTTAGCTTGAAAAAATCCTGACACTTTCTAGATCACCATTTATATGTGAATAAATATGCCCTTGATGGAGGTTAAGCCCAAAAGATAAATAATGTTTGTACATTAAGCATCTCAACATTCCAAACACATTTTCATTAGATTTCTGATATGAACACTAGCTTTCTCAGCTTTTCTCTTTCCCAATTCAAATTCTACACAAGGTTTATGATAATGGGGACAGGAAAGCACTGTGACAGGTGCTGCAAATGTTTGAAATAGATGGTTACAAAAGCAGTCAAAAGTCGAGGCAAAACTCAGTTATGATGGAGACGGTGTTTTCCAATAAAATTAGGCCTTAGAGATGTGCAATATCACAAGTTGCTTAGTTAGGCATCCTAAAATGAGAATTTTTTTTCTTCCTTCAACTTTTCATATTTCTTTCATTCATGTCTTGAGAAGGTCTAATCTGATCAGCTTCAAATTTTCAAAACCTGGATATGGTAATTAGAGCCAGATTCTTAGAACAAACAGCATTTGCACATACACAAGCCCTATGACCAAAGTTGTTGAACCTATTCCCAGCATCCTAGAATGACTCTTGTAGAAATTTGTGGAGACCCCAAATCGCCATCAACGGCCAGTAAATCTTAGTGTTTTATGTTGCATGTCTGGAACCATGTAGTACTATTAACCTTCTTAACAAATCTTAAAATTGGGCCCCTGCCCTTCTTAACGAGCCCTTAAATTCAGCATACCATTTTTAAGGATTTAGACCTTAGGAATAATTTAGGGAGGCTTGAATCATTAAAAATTATGATTATTATAGCAGAGTTAGGTTGTTATATTAGGAAATAAAATTAGTATTACAGAGTAGGTGGCAGCTCAGCCAGGAGCTTGGGTCAGCAGAGCACATGCTGCTGCTGCTGCTGCTAACTATAGACAAGATGTGAGGTAAGGCAGAGACTGCTAGAGGATTGTTTATGTCAATGATGTCCGGACCTCCCTCAGCCCTACAAAACAGACATCTAGCAGCCAGAGACGCAACAACTGAGGATAATTCGTCTATGCCCAACACCATTAAGAGACTCATTTCAGTATTTACATCTGTAGTAGAGGGGAGGAAGGGTAGGGGTCATCCTAGGAAAGGACAGAGGAAGGAGGGTAAAAGAGGTTTTGTATGCAAAGGACCTGGACATACAGCAGGAATTTGTGGAGACAAATGTTTTTTGGGACTTGATGAGCTGTTGGAGTGTGAGCATGGTAATATATTTTGTGAAGGGATTCAGGGAAACCGGTTAACTCAACTTGAGTCCTGGAGGTGGGATGTACAATGCCTACACTAGGGGGGGATATTTGCCGTTTGGAGTGACATCTGAACAGCCCTATCTGAGCATCTCTGCAAAGACAGCGATTATGCTTGAATGATGGTGAAAGTTCTTTCTTTCTTTCTTTTTCTAGATCACCCTGCCTCAGTGAGATGGACAGCATGTTAAAAAAAAAAATACATCAGTAATGTAAGTGGTCATTGAATGCTTGAGAGGGCGAATGCTGGGATAATTTAACATATGGGTTATGAAAGGAGCCATGCCCCACCACAGGGTAGGTAATAGTAATGTGTGTACAGTGAATTATACCCTGTTGACATAGTGCCAGAAACTAATAAATGTGTAGATATATACTGATGTTAGCACAGGGTAGGCCCAAGAATCTAGTGTAGCCTAGGGCCTAAGCCAGAGTTGCTAATATATTGTTTACAGGTACCATTCAGTAGAAGCCTCATAGGGTCAAGCTAACCTGGGATAGTCACTGAGAAATCTAGCTAGGGATAGACTCCACACCAACACAAGTCCATTCAATTTTGGCACAGGGAGGTGGGACCCTGCTGGCCCTTTATCCCATTAGTACAAGCAAAGTAGAGAAAACCAATGGAGATTTGTAATGGCAAAATTGCTAATTTTACATCAGTCTCATCATTGGCTGATATAAAAATGGTGCTTCCTAGTTTAAAGAGAGCAGAGTGAAATTCATGATGATATTTAACTGCATCACAAACTTATACCACATGCAGTACTATTCTGTTTACATTGAGGTACAGAGAACAAGGGTAATGCAATACAGGCATATCTTTCTCAGATTGTGCAACAACTAAAGATGGGGTTGTAAAAGAGGTGAATGCATGAGTGTTGCAGTGTTAAAGATAAAATTATAATGAATTTGATATGAGGTTATCCCAGTTGCTCTTTGTCAATAATGCAGTGCTTTTGGAAGATCCAAAAAAGAAGTTACAAATGTAGGTAGAAAATTTGGTAAAATGTAAAAGCAGCAAGGTCAGTGATCACAGAAGAAAGGGTAAAGAAGGTAAATGGAAACGGTTCTGACCTGGGCGTCGGTAAGATGCGGAGGGAAGAAGGATGGGTTAAGATGGAAATATGGGAATGGGTTGGGATGATGGAGGAGGAAGGGTAATAAAGGTGAGTGGCCCATCCACTCTGGGCAAGTTGTGCAGAGATACTGCAGGGAGATGTGGCGAGTTGGGTTGGGCTTTAGGTTTCAGGCAGGAGACGACTGGAAGGGCAGTGGTAACTGGAAAATCAGGGTCAACTGGAGCCACACCCCAGCTTTAGCTAAATAGCAAAGTGCTAGGGGACTTCAGCTTGTTGGTAGGTAGTGATTAGGCAGATGAACATTCGTTAGAGCCGCTGCAGACTGCGTTGAATCTTGATCTTGAGAGGTGTAGTACGGGTAGCAGGTGGATTTTCGTGACAGGTGAACTCTGTAGGGTTGTCCTGGAGTCGTTGGCTGAGCTCTGGGAAGGGCATAGCTTTGCTGTATTGTTTCGTGGTGTAGAACGTGACTCCACTGTAAGTGAGGATAGGTGGGGTTGGTGGGGGAGGTGGTGTGGGTGGGGTAAGCAGGGTAGAAGCTTGGTTGGTAGTGGTGGTGGAGGGAGAGGCTGCAGGTGGGCTCTCATTGGTGGGATTCTACTGAGGCTCAGTGGTCTTTGGTTGGTCCATCTCTGTGTCGGGTGGAGGTTATAGTAGCGGTGAAGCAGCAGTGATGCTGGTGATATCTGCAGTGGATTTTATGATCTCAGTGGAAGGTGGGGACGCAGGGAATGTAAAACAAGGCATATTGTTAATATATTATTATTATAATCAAAAAGAAGCGCTAAGCCACAAGGGCTATACAGCGCTGCAGGGTAGGGAAGGAAGCGAGGGTATTGGGCGGCAGAAGGGGGGAGGGATGATCAGTAGGTTACAGAAAACAGCGGGGCAGGGGATAGTGTGGGGGTAGAGAGTAGCAAGAGATTGAGGTAGAAAGGGCTGAAGGTATCAGAGTTTGTGAAGTAAGTCAGTTGTTGTCAAAAAGTCAATGAGAGAGTCCGGATGAAATGTGGGTCCATCAGCGAGAAGGGAAGGTAAAGAGAGAGCAGCGGAGCGAAGACGACGATGGGGCATATTGTTAAGCTTGAATAGTTCGTTGATGATGGTGTTGAAGGAACCATGTTCAGCTACATTCTGTACATGAACATACATGATACAGTAAAGAATCTTGGTTGAGTCACCAGCAGGAACTGGCGGAGAAGTGGTAGAGGCAGCTTGCGTGGCTTGAAGAATCTTGGTAATATCTGCTTGCAGCTTGGTAATAGCAGCGTATGTAGTTGCTTGTGGAGTGGGTTTCTTTTGCTGTTGAAGATGTTTCTTAAATATATCTCTTCTGGTTGGGCACTTGGCAGCAAGAGTATGGTGACCATTCTTGCAGTTCAAGCATTTAGGTGGTGAGGCAGCAGTGCACGTCTTGAAGTCGTGACGTTCTTGGCCACAGGTGGAGAAGAACTTCATATTCTTGGCACGGCAGTCTTTGGTGGTATGTAGATATGAGTAACAGTTGCAACACTGTGGGATTTGTTGGAATTTTTCTGCTTCGCTGAAGGCTGGGTTGATGTGGAAGTAGTGAATAGCCAGTCCCTCAGCGAGAGCTCTGGCTGCCATGTTGATGTCACTGAAGGTGACCTTCAGCATGGAGGAAGCACTGGGTATTTTGGTAACAAATTCCACCTTGGCCCAAGGGTTCTGTTCTTCGATGGACGACTTGATTTCTTTGGTAGCCTGGTAAGTGATGACCCTGTCAAGTCTCTTCAGGAACACAGTTCTCCTGGCCCTCAGAGCTGGGGAATTCAAGACAATAAATCCCTGGTCTCAAAGTGGTTGTAGCAGCGGTGGTAATTAGTTTCTCGGCCTCGGTGTTGTCAGTACAGATGACAACGAAGGCCTCTTTGAGCGACAGAATCGCATTACACTTGACTTGCAATCTGCCACTGACGACAGCTGCAGGTGTTAGTTTGGACGAGTCATTGACTGTCCCACTCTCTGGTTTAATCTTTACCCTGTTCGAGAAGTGCATCGTGAAGTGAAGCAGACTAAAGGTTCCCCTCCCCAACAGGGATCGAAGGGAGACTGCTGATGAAAAGAATAAAAAAAAAATATTAACTTACTACCTGACTCACGCAATCGTAATGACACAATTGCAGCGACGGGCTGGAGTTTTGAGACTCTCTGACCGCGGGTTCAATCCCGGCCGGGGTATGGTTTAACTTACTACCTATTCCACACACTTGCAACATCTGTCACATTGCTCCCCTATCCACTCTATCATATGCCCTTTCTAAATTCATAAATGCAATGAAAACTTCTCTACCTTTATCTAAATACATACTATTCACACATATGCTTGAATGTAAACACTTGATCTACACATCCCCTACCCACTCTAAAGCCTCCTTGCTCATCTGCAATCCTACTCTCTGTCTAACCTCTAATTCTCTCAATGATAACCCTACCATACACATTTCCTGGTATACTTAATAAACTTTTAAATGTCAACGAAGAAAGGGA